TGAACTTCTTACTATTTGTGCTTTAACCAACTGTCAAGAGTTCAAACTCTCCTGCAATCCTAACTCCAATTTTATTAGTGCCTTGATGTTGCTTTAAATGCAACAAAGCCAGCCCTTACTGCTTGAGCACTGCTTTTAACTTGCTATTCTGATAGAACAGAGCTTCCAGGAATTGAGGCTCCCGTATTGTAGTATTGTCTAATGTGAAATGCCTATAGCAGCTGCCTCTGCTGCAAGGAAGTACAGAGCTGTGTTTCTGCAGACTGCATCTGTAATGAAGTACAGAAAAAATGCCAGCAAAACCAAGCTCTGGTATCTGGACCTCGACTGCTGAAGTGTTGCAAATAAATAGTTCCTGAAAGGCTGGTGGCAAGAGTTCAGTGCGTGAAACGCAAAGCCCACAAACTTAAGACTCTAGTTGCTTCTCCAAGTGTAAAATGACTGCGTTTGTACTTACACATTTGGCTCTGCAGATCTTCCACAAACCTATGGCCCAGATGCAGGGTTTAGATTCATTCCGTAGAAACTCTTCCAATGTAATCATGAAGAAAAGAAGTAACTTCAAAACTGCTCTAGGTGCCTCATTATCCATGTTAAGCTTGTATCTGTACTAAAGAGTAACTTGGTAAAACAGTTTCTCAGTGAACTCTTTCAATTACTGAATCATGATGACTATGATAGATGACAAAAATCACCATACACTTCCAGCCTCCAACACCCCATTCATATGCTACTGAAAGGAAAGGAAGAATTAAGCTGGGGAGCTAAAATGAGGTGTTGCTGTAGTGTACAACTCCATTCACTCAGTCACATAACTGTCTAGATTAGGCATACTTTGTAATACCAACACTGGTGTCACTTATGGTTGGCAAAGCCACAGCACTAGGGAAGCTGAAGAACTTGAAGAACTAAAGAAACAACCCTGCCTTTAAGTAGGTAACTTTGCCTAGAAGGCAGACGGATTTGGTTCAGTCCCTTCGCATTCTAGAAAAACATATCAGAACAAACATGTCTGTCATCTTGATTAATCTAGATAACACAAAACATGCAAAGTTGGATCCATTACATGACCTCCAGCTAAATGGAAAACAGTCCATTTCACATAATTTAATCACAAGTATTCATGAGGAGAAAGTTAAGTTCTGTTCATCCACTAATCACTGGCTTTCCTGATGAGCTTACAGAATTTGCAAACTGTAATCTTGAGACAACTGGTTTTTGAAGTGACACGTTGCTGACCTCTTCTGGGGAATAAAAAAAAATGCAAGAGCGGTGCCTCAGAGGGTTGTTTCTGTGGAGTCTGTGCAGGGCAATTAAGATAACCTACTCTGATGCTTAATCCAGCTAACTAATAACTAATTGAAAAAGGCTGTCAGATGTTGACAAGGATATTCACTGGTGGCTTTTTATCTGAGATTAATTGTCCTTATTAAAACTAAACCGAAATTAACTTAGAGGACTTGCTAATGAACATGTATGTCCTTACTTGTATTTAGAAGTTAAGGAAGAGTGTTTACTCACCCTCAAATTTGAATTCTGGAAACTTGGTTAGATCTCCCTCACCATACATCCGCTGGAGTCTAGCAAGGGATTCATTCATGTCTTTCTGAAACTCAGGGCCCACATCAATAGGTCCCCCAGCCTGTCTGAAAAATAAAAAGTTCCAGTTAATAGTTCAGTTCTCAAAGGTCACATGGAAGTTTTACATTCTCATACCCATTTATGAATTAAAAATCACTTCCAAAACCAACTAAAGCAAACAAAAATGTTCGCAAGAGTCAAAACGAGGCATGCCATAAGGCCTATTTACCACACAGATAAACAATGTTCTCAGGGCTTTCTGCAAGGACTAATGAATATCTAAGCCCTCACGGCAGCAATTTGAGACATAAAACAACGAGTATCCAGGATTGGACTGGACTTTTCATTTGTTCCAGATGGATTTTCTGCACAAAATTGTGATTTGAGCTCCTGCTATTCCTGACTAGCTTTATTCTTGCAAAGATAACATGATTTGAATACTAAACAAAAAAACAACAAAAGAAAATGAAGGGAAATGGCACCTTGCATTGAGATACAGTCAGACAGGAATTTCTTAAAATACAAACATAAGACAGTAACTTTACAGATTAGTCATACTGTGCAGCACCCGCCCTGGTACCAGTTATGGCTGGCAAGGAGGCAGGAATCACGCTTCCTCTGAGCAGGCTATTCCGAAGCTGTGGAAATCCATGTTTTCTTCCAGGCAGCTCCCATCCTTCCCAAGACAGCTACTTTATATTATCACATTCAGCCTCAACAACCTGAGCATTACACGAAATGTCTATAACCTTAGCTTCCTGATAAGTAGTTCACTACAAGAGCTTATGATTCCACACGAATGGAATTGAACTTACTTTGAATAAGACTTGCTCTTTTGTGCGCATGAGCACGCAAAAGCCAGAAACCTATTTCAGAACAGCCAATGCACTGGTTAACGTGGCAGCTTCTTCTGAACCAGAGGGAAAAGAGCTGCGTTCTCCATTTGCAACGCTGCCACAGCTACCTTCTCCCTCGATGCATTCGACAGCAATGTATGCCAGCACCAAGCGAAGAAACACGCCACGTTCGGGCTAGCCTTTGAGGGGGTGCTCTGAGCAGCTTTCGAGGGTGCAAGAGATTCACATCCTTGCTCCTTGTTTTGTTTCCAAACCGGGCTACGTTCTGCTTTAGTACCGTTCTGTCCACGGAGTCCCCAGCGAGAGCCGTATCAGAGTGCCACATTGCTCCAAGAAGGACAAACAACCATGACAACCTTCACTCGTTTTTAAAGGCTGGAATATTTAGTCGAAACACTTTTATACAGCTTTACACAGGCACTCACAAGAAGCTGCTCCAGTGAAAATGGGCTCAAGAGACTGTTCTTTCTCCTTTACCTCAGTAGGAGGTACAGTACAGAGAGATAAGTTCATCAGCGTGACACTGAAAGCAGCTAAATGCCTTTTTGAAAGAACACGTGTCTCCTGCTTGGTGACCCCGGCAGTTAACGGAGACTCTCCCGCTGATGCAGGAGCAAGTCTCACAGCATCCAGAGCCAAGGCTGCACAACTAACGCATCTGGATGCTTGCCACAGCCAGCAATTCTTCTAGGCCTGGGAAAAGCTACAAACGGGTGTCCCGTTCGCTTGGGGACACCGCTATCTACTCACTTGCTCTTCGTGTTGTACTCCCGGATCTTGTCCAAGAACAGCTTCTGTACCGGGTCGAGCTCCTTGGCCCTGTTAAAGGCGACAGCCGAGAGGCCGATATTCCTGCGCAAGTGCACGGAGACGGCGGCGCGCAGCACGGAGGAGAGACGCAGGATCTGCTGCAGGATCATGGTGAACACGCTGGGCAGAGAGACACAAGGAATAAATGGCAAAGCACGGACCGAGCACGTTCCCAAACGCCCTTCAGAGCAGACCGGACACTCAACCCCCGCACGAGGAGCCCTCGGGCAGCCCCGCCGGACACCCTGCCGCTGGGCAGGGGCCCACAGCGCCCGGCTGCGCGCCGCCACCGGCGCCGGGAAC